TTCTGGGAGTTGAAGTCCACTCATCTTAAAGTGGCCAGGTTTGGACAACACTGTCCTAGGAGATTATGCTCACAGAGGCAAACACTACATCCTGTACCCACAGCACTAAAAAACAACAAAGCTCTTCTACAAAGCACCTGAAAGCCCTCATCTGTTTCAGTTCTGAACATTTTTTTTTGTTCAAAAACAACCCATGGAAACAAGTAATGGGCAGTTAACTTGGGAGAGTGACAGGGAATCTGGCTACAAGAGATGGGCTGCAGAGGGCAAATCGCCCTCGTGGATGGAGGGGCAGGGAAAGATGAAGATGCGAATTCACCCTAAAGGTTTCTTCCCAAAATGAGGCATCCTCACCTTCACACATGCAACACCGCCTCCCCACCCAACATCAGATGGCCTTAAAAGAGGGTATTCCCATGAAAAAGATGCTGGGTCATCGTAGGGTGGCTCTGGATGGGCTGCTAAAGCTAAGCCACCATGAGAGGGCAGCAAGGGGATTTTCTCTGGTGCCATCATGCTGGCTGGGGAATTCTGGGAGTTGAAGTCCACCCATCTTAAAGTTGCTAAGGTTGAGGAACCCTGCCTTAGGTGGACACCATCCAAGGGCCTCCTTAATGTGGGTAGGACCTTCTAGATTTTGTCAGCCATTGCCTTGGAGGAAGATCAGGGGACTGTGGTGACGAGGGACAGAAACAACAGGGGCAGGAGGGGGATCAGCAGCCAGGAGAGACAATGTCATGCCCATTTTCATGCAGTGTTTTCAGCCAACTCAGAGATGGGTGGAGAACCTCAGCTACAATTGCTCAAGCGTGCTGCAGTGAGTAAACAGCAGACACGGGCATTTTCGTCAGCAATGGAGAAACCACAAACCCTTCTCCCTCCCCCTCTTCTGCAAAGCTATAAAATCACTGCCTGATGGGCTTCACACTTTGGACCTTGTGATGAGATTTGCTTAATCAGAGTTAATGGAATAAGCTGCAGTTGGCTGGGTCTGCCCAAATGCTAAATGGTAAACCATGGTTCACTGACCCACAGATGCCAACGTCACACAATTGCAAAGCCCAAGGAAAATAAGCATGATGTGGCTTTGCAGAATGCAGAGAAACAAACAAACATTTTATCACACACACTGTCAAGATGGGTCTCGGTCCACTGTATCATGTTGCTGAAATTTCCAGCTCCTGATTATCTTATAACTTTAAGAGCTGGTGTGAGGTCTGTGGCCTCCCCTTCTCTTTCCCCATTCCTTTTTCTTGGATGTTTCTTTTCAGATTTTAAAGCCCAGAGCATAAACATTTATTTAATATACTGATATGTCACCATAAACTACACAAATTCTCGTCAGTTTGCATTCATTCTATATATAGAGTATAAAATGCATACTATAGTGATATAAAAACAAAATATACAAACAAGAATGAATAATAAACAGGAAGGCAATCACTCCTCAGTCCCTGAATGACTTTGGGAACAATTCTCTTTTTTTCAGTTTCTGGAATGCCTATAATGCTAATCTGGTCTTGAGAGGGAGTCAATTCCAAAATAGAGGGGCCATAACAGAAAGGTAGTGCCTCCAAGTCCCAAGCTCTCTTCACCTTACAAAACCAGGGGATTACCACAAAATGTTGTCAAGTTGCTTCTATATGGAGAACAGGAGTGTCTGCAGAGAAGGTTACAAAAGTCAAGAGTGGCTGCAACTGTGTGATTGAAGTCCTACTCCTTTCTATGCACATCACAATTGCATGGTCATAGCCACCATCCTGACTTTTTTGACCCACCCATGGATGCCCTGATGAAGAAAGTGGCTCTGATGGTACCTAGAAACCAAGCCATAAAACCAGCACTTTGAAACCCAACCACCTTCTTCATTGCTGTGTGTTATATGATACTTGTTTAATATTTGTAATGTGCTGTTGTTTTGGCTAAGGCAATCCAAACCTGTTTTTTTCAGCAGACTTTTGAGGGAGAGAGGAACTGAGCGAGATTCCTCCTGTGTAGACGTTTATGATTGCATAGGTTTTTATTATTCATCAGCATAGGAATATTTTATTATGTAATACTGTTTATTTGTCTGGTTATTTTTTGCTATTTTAATCATGTTTACACATGGTGGGATTATAAGTCACTCAGCTGATGACTGAAGCAACTAATGAAATGAAATATATACAATTAAATTATTAAATTAAATTAAATTCAACAAACAAACATCCAGGTAAAAGTATTTCAAAGAAAGCAAGCTAAATAGGCCACAGTTTATTATTTACTTCCTGCTAAAGTTTGAGACAGTATAAGGGAATTTACTCAGAGCCTCCATATGCATTGCACTGCAACTTCCATCATCCCCAGTCAGTATAGTAGTTGAGAAGGATGGGAATTATAATCCAACTCATGTGAATAGCACCACGTGGTGGAACGGGTATAAGCCCATACATGAATTCACCATACATGAACAGGCCATGCAATTTCATCAGTGAGAACCATTAATTACAATCTTGGATCATAATTAAGCCATGGTTTGCAAATAAACTATAGTTGGCTGAGTTTGCATGCGCTAAATCACACATCTAATTTTTACTGTGGTTGTTATCCAGCACATAAATCATTACACCGTTGTTTACAAATGACAATCACCTAGATTCATAGTGCACATACAGAGAAAAACCAAACACACTGTATAACACAGTGTTTCTCAACCTTGGCAACTTCAAGATATATGGACTTCAACTCCCAGAATTCCCCAATCAGCTGGGGAATTCTGGGAGTTGAAATCCACACATCTTCAAGTTGCCAAGGTTGAGAAACAGTGGTATAAGGGTTTAATGTAAGGTGTGAACCCAACTGGGGCTACCATGTTGGGGAGGCAAGTAAGCAAATCCCCTCCTCTCCCATCCTATTTCATGGGAGACACACACTTTCCCAAATATTTGCTCCCATAAGTCATCTGTGCCTAAGGCAACTACATCTGGACTGCAAAAATGCAGACAACTATTGACTGGCAGCAGAACTCAAACATTTTGTTGTCTTCTAAAATTTTTGAGTTTTTTGTCTCTCTTGACTGGTGGTCTAGATTTTTGCAGGCTAATTCAACCACAGTGCTTTTGTTTAGCTGTGGCTTAGCCACTGGAGACTGTCAGTCATAGCTTATATTTGATCCTAATACATTATTATTGAATCAATAAACCATGATTAGGAAACCAGGCCTTAATGCAAAGCAAGTCAAAATGAACAGGCTGAGATATAGATGAATGGTGTGAGACTAACGCACACAAAGATTAAAAAAAATGTTCCAGGGTTTTGTTTTATCCCACCTATGCTTCTTAATTCAGCCAGCGTTCTCCAGAATGGGGGAAAAGAAACATACGCTTATGATCTCCCTTTTATGTGGAGTTTTCCTCTTTGTTTCTGAAATGGAAGTGGTATAGCATATCCTGCGGAAGTGGCTTACAAAATCAAACCATCAGTACGTTGGAGATGCTTATTAACACCTGTTGGCCCCCCCTCCAATAATAGCGCTCCACTTGATATTTCTGCAAAACCATATGCCTTCTGGTATTCCCCCTTATACCCAAGAGAGCTTAATTTGAACATAAGGCTTGCTACAACCTACTTTTGGTACGGAACCTGTTGCGGGCAAAGGTTGTCTCTGAGCATCTGCAGAATAGCTCAATGCCCGTTAGCACCAGGCCCATCAAGCTCACGGTTGCCAACTATACTGGGTGTCCTATGATTGACCTGCATGTTTTAACTGACACCTGAAAGAGCTGCTGGAAATTTGTTATCTCACATTTGCCCTCGGGAGCTATGAGATAACAAACTTCCAGCAAGAACCCAATTAGATCATGGTTTCCCTCTTTTGTCTTAGCCTACACCCAATACCTGCTAGACCCTTAATCCTCATTAATATCTCACCTTCCTTTGCTGATGCCTAAACTAAGCAATTCCCAGGGTGAAGACGAAAAGAGGTTGAGGGGCTACAAAAGATGAAAACACCCCCTTTGTGAGTCGTGTCCATGGACTACCCGCCTCGCCACATTTCAGACTCACCCCGGTGTGCTGAGGGAGCGAACCTCTGATGCGGTAAGTATAGAGACCATTTTAATAAACCTTTATGAATTGTAAGTGTCCTGGGCATCTTTCCTGATGCCCACCTTTTCTGATATCTGCCCTGCAACTACGCTAGCCGGTGACACTGAGACCAAGGCCTTCAGGACAGTTTTCCAGGCCATGCTGCTTCTAGCCTTTTTAATGAGAAGTGCAGGGGCCAACCTGGAGGCAGGATGCTCATTGTGGGATCAAACCTTTGCCTACAGCATGTCGTTTCAGATGCTTCTTATTTTATTTCCTTGATTACTGCACTACATCTGAGTGGACATGATGTGCCCTATTCTTCATTGAATGCATAAATTAAACCTAAGGCAATTGTTAATCTACAAGAAAACAGAACATTTTAAATCAGCAAGGTCATGGAACGTTCTCTCTTAAAAAGATGCATTTTATCAAACCAGAACACAGATCCTTTGGCAGAGAGCTAGTCTACCCTTGAGGCAGGCAGGCAGCTTGTCAAAATCCTTCCTAGAGTTCCTACTGTCCAGTCCAAGATACTTTTAAGTCAGGCATGTACCACCCAACTTCTTGGGTTCTCAAATGCTCCAAGAAAGAAATGTGCCAGGACAAAAAAAAAAAGAAAAAAATGTATTTCATTAATT